GGCTGGCCACCCCCAGCCCTCCTCCCTGCGGTTCCTTAACAGGGAACCTGGAGCTGCCTCACTCGCCCCTGGTGGGAAAGGCACCATTGCCTGGGCAAAGCCAGTCCGGGGGACGCTGCGGAATGAGCTCTCTGGGTAGCTGAGCAGCCGCGTGCCAAGCACCAGCAGCCCCACTGTGGGTCCCGTGAACACTGCAGCCCCCGGTTGCTCTGCTATCGTGAGAAATCTTCGCCCTCCAACGGCCCTCCTGGGAAATTGGCCGGAGAAGGGAAGCCCAGACTGTGAAAAATAAGGATCGCAAGGAATCTGGGGGAAATAGGAAGAGGCTCCGGCTGGCCCACTGGGCAGGGAAGGAGGCCAGCGGGGCTCACGCAAAGGTGATTCACACCAGAAGAGTCGGCAGCAGAACACTGAAAGGGCCGCCAAGGGCATCTGCAAAAGAGCCACCTGGCCCTGCCAACCTCCCTTCAGGGAAAGGCCAGGCCCGACCGGTCCCTGTCCTGCCGCCTCCCCTCCAGCCCCAAAGGGAGAGAGAGCGGAAGAGGGACCGTGGCCCCCTGGGTGTCCTTCCCCAGCTTCCTCTGCCCCAGGGCCCCCACAAAATCTCCCGGCCTCTCCCTTGTTCCGGAGAGGAGCACAGCGCCAGGGGTTGCAACGCAGAGGCTGCTGGTGGGAAGGCTGCCACCAAGCAGACCCCAAAAGGGGGGAGGCGGGGGCAAAGTAAAGACCCCCCCCCAGCGAGAGGCAATGGCCACACCCCAAGTCTGCACCCTCAGGAGCAATTCCTGGGCAGGAGGAGCCAGTAAGGCATGGAAGCCACGAAGCTGCCTGGGAGCCAAAAAGGGACCCCTGGGGGCAGAAAGACCCATAAGGCCCAGCTGAAAGAAAGGCTGCTTCCAAGACCCCCAAAGAAAATGCCAAGGTCCGCCCCCCTCCCCCCCGAGATTCCCCAGCCCCTCTGGCTGTCCCAAAGAAAAAGGGCCTGGGCCACCTCCTCTTTCCGATTCCAGCAAGCAAACATCCCATTCCACGACCTCAGATAACCAGCCCAGGGAAGGAGGGGGGGAGGGGCTACACCTGCCAGCTGCCCTTCTCAGCCTGGAAGTCTGTGGGGCCATTTCCCATAGTGGGGAGGGGACAGATCCATGGCAGGAAAGACCCTGCCATTTCTGAAGGATGGGAAAGCGCTGGTCAGGGAATCCATCCTTCCTTCCTTCCTTCCTTCCTTCCTTCCCCTCCCCTCCCCTCCCCTCCCCTCCCCTTCCCAGCAACTGCATGTTGCTAGATGTGGCTAGTTTTAAACCGTAGGGGATTCTTTGCTCCGTCTCAAAGTCCTTCGGCTGGCCTCAGGTAAGGGAAGGCGCAGGCAGGCCAGGGGGGAAGGCCAACGGGGGGGCCCTTCTGAGCAGGATGGGGAAAGGAGTGTATTCTGTTCTGGGCTCCGAGGGGGCAGCCTGGGGCTCCTTAGGGGAAAGGAGAAGGGGGTGGGTGGGGGAGGGAGGTTGTTCTTCCCTGGTTGTGACCTTCATGCTCCGCTGGGCTTCTGAAGATACTGAGATCTTGGCAGGGAAACAGACCGTCTGTGGGAACCAGGCAGCCGGGCTCTGCAAGGCAGCTACCGCTGGGGGGGGGATCCCGGCCAGGGTCCAAGTGGCTTCCCTCCCCCCCTCGCTCTTTCCCCCTCTCCCTTCCAGAGGCTCCTGTGCAGAAGCTTTGGGAAGGAGCCTGCCTGAGCAAGCCACCTCGCCTCCCGTCCGGGGCAGGTCGCCCTACCTCCAAGAGGGAGGGTCTCGCCTGGACAGAAGGTGCCAGCTCTGGCCTGCAGGCCCCACGGTCCCCCCTGAGCAAGAGGAGGAGATGGGCCCCTCCAGCCGCTCCCTTCCCCAGCTCCCAGCCCATCAGCCCCTGCGAAGGAAAAGGGGAGAAGCCCCTGGTGGATAGACGCAATAAAGGGAGGCCACTGGTCCTCTACAGCAGTGTTTCTCAACCTTGGCCACTTGAAGATGTCCGGACTTCAACTCCCAGAATTCCCCAGCCAGCATTCGCTGGCTGGGNGGAAGCGCCTGGGCCGGGCGGACATGCTTTGAGAAGACGGCCCCCTGGGAGCCGAGTGTGAGAACCTGTCGACTTGCTAAGCAGTGTGGGAAAGTGGGGGAAGGGCGGGCGGCTTTGAGCAGCAGCAGGGAGGAAGAGGAGAAGGCGGCCCGAGGAGGAGCAGGAGCAGGAGCAGCCACCACCACCACCAGAACACCCCCCCCCCAATAAGGCAGCCTTGCAGCTCTGTTTGGAGGGGGGAGGGAGGGTGTCAGAAGCATGAAAAGCACCAGGCCCTGCAGCGTTTGTTGCAAAGGGGGCAGAGAAGGGCTTCAATTTGTAGCAGCCCCAGGGAGGGAGGGAGGGGGAGGAAGGGAGGGGCTGCCTGCCCTCCCTGCAGCAGCAGCACCCCCCCCAACACCTCGCTGGCACAATGGGGCTGGGGGCTGAATCCACATGCCCTCTGTCTGCGGAGAGAAAGGAAGGCAGGGGGAGTGGAGCCTCAGCCAGAGGCTGCCTCTTGCCTTGCCCGCCTTCCCTCGGGTGCCAGGGAAGGAACCCCCAATGCCAGGCGCCAAGAGCCCTCTGGCGAAAGGGACATTCGGGGCACTTCAGTTAAATCAGAGGAAAAGCTTCATGTCCTGTTCCCCCACCACCACCACCACCACACACACACAGAAGCCACAGCACACACAGACCAAAGCTGCCCCTTCCTCCCTCCGGGTCTGGGCAAGGGCTTGTGGGTCCCTGTTGGCCCCCATCCTGCTCCATGCGCTCGGTGGGCAGGAGGAGAGCGTTCCCCCCAGAAAGCCCCCGAGGGAGAGGAGAAGGCTGGTTTTCTGGCTCTCTCAGGTGCTTCCGGAGGGACTGACGTCACCTCGGCTGTGAGAAAGGCGCTGGGAGAGGAAGTGCCCCCCCCCACCTGGCCACAGGCACCCCTTCCCCTCTGCAAAAGACCCCAAGGGCTGGTGCTCCACACCCTTGGGGGTCTTTTGTGCGACAGTTGCAGCCTCCCAAGTCTGGCGAAAGAGGGACAGGAGCCGCTTGTGGGGGGGTCCTTGATTTCCCCCCCCCAAACCCCACAGGGTGTGGGCACGAGGAGGGTGCGCAGCCCTGGCCCTCTCTGCCCCAGTGAGCATCCCCATGGCTGCACCCCTGCCCCGGGTCTCCCATCTCCAGCGAGGGAGGAGGCGGGGAAGCGGCCGCGCGGTCCCTGCCTGACGGTCGAGAGATGGGCTGCCCTCCGGAGGTTCCCCGGGGCACCCCTGCAGGAGCTGCTCTTGGGCCTACGGAAGAGGAGGAAGAGGGAGGGCGGGGGGCGCCTCCTTATCGCCAAGAGCTCCCCAGGGAAAGCCTGTGGGAAACGGGCCGCCCTCTTCCACGGATGCCAAGTGCCAGGGCTGGCGTGAGAAGTTTGGCCCCGGGAGGCTCCCTAGGAGGAGGCGTGGGAATCCCTCCTCCTCCGCTACAGGAGGCAACCTGAGGACACCTTCCCAGCCTCCTGCTGCCAGAGGGAGGGGCTCCCTGGGGCAGAACCTGCTCTGCCTCCAACCTCCTCCCAAGGCAGGGCCCGCCTGGCGAAGCAGAGGGGCCCCAGAGGTGCAAGGGGATGGGCTCAGCGGGGGGGGGGAAGAGGGGAGTCTCCTCTCCTGCCAGTTTATCCCCAGGGCCCCCTGCAAGCCATCAAGCCCCTGGCCGGGCAGGGCTCCTCTGGCCACAGGGGGGTGCCACCAAGGCCTTCCAAACACCCAGGGGAGCCCCCCATGGCCTGGCTGGGACTAGAGAAATCTGGGTGAGGAAAGAGGGGGGCAGGCCAGGGAAGGAGGAGGGGGCCCAACATCTAGAAGGGGGAGGAGGAGGGGGGGGAGAAGCCTCGCAGCACCAGCAGTTTCTACAAGTCCTTTCGCAAAGCAACTCCAAACTCCCCTCTG